CAGTGCCTGTGGTTCAATGGGTAGGGCGCTGGCCCCATATACTATGGGTGGGGGGTTCAAACCTGGCCCTGGCCAAATTGCAACAAAAATATAGCTGGGTGTTGCAACAGATTCCTGTAGTCCCAGCTACTTGGGAGGCTGAGACTAGAGAATAGCCTAAGCCCAGGAGCTGGAGGTTGCTGTAGGCTGTGATGCCAAGGCACTCTAGGGCGACAAAGTGAGACTCTGTCTCTACAAAAAAATTAAAAAAGAGAAGAGAGAAAGAGAAGAGAGAGAAAGAGGACAAAAAGGACTCACATTTAAATATATTAAAGTTAAGAAGTTTTGTTTACAAAAAGAAAAAGTGAAAAGGTCAGCCATACACTGGGAAAAGGCATGTGCAACAAAAGATAAACAAAAAGAACCATTAGTATCTGGAACATTATGAAAGACCCTTAATAAGAGAAAAAAACAGAAAAATAAATAGGACATCAAGAAATATTTCACAGAAGAAACAATGACTACCATAAAAATAGGTTAAACTTTTCTTAAACTTACTAATAATCAGGAAATGAAAATTAAAGCCACAATAAAATAGCACCGTATACCTGCCAGATGGCCAGTGAAGGAGAACCCATATTGTCAACTGGCACGATCATTCCGGAAAGCAGCTATGCTCACCACTGTCTCACCAGTGCAGGCCCAAACATGTTGGAAAAGCAGATCAGGCACATGTAAGACCTTATAAACCACCAACTTTGCTTCTAGGCAGCTACTCTAAAACTCTTGGATGTGAACACCAAAAATTGTATACGAATGTTCACTCCAGCACTGTTTGTAAAAGGGGGGAACAAGTGAAAATGAGACCCAACAATATAAATTGTAAATGTATATTGAATTTCACAGAAGAAACAATGACTACCATAAAAATAGGTTAAACTTTTCTTAAACTTACTAATAATCAGGAAATGAAAATTAAACATGAAAGTTGTGTTCATGTTAATGAACAATGAACAATGTTCAAATCAACAATGTTCAATGTTAATGAACATTGAATCTGTTGAATAAAAAATCAAATTACATGAGACTATATACAGTATAATACTATTTTTTTGTAAAGCTCATGAACAAAATATGGCTTACAGACATATGTGTAAAAATAAAAGAAAAAGCAAACAAATGATAGAGTCAGGAGACCGTCCCTCGGAAGAGAAGGGTAAGCTGGGCATGGGAATTGAGAAGGAACACGAAGATGGGGTCAATACTACTAGAAATGTGCTAGCTCTTAATTAGTGGGTGGGTACACAGGTGTTTCATTATTATGCTTCATAATGTCTTTGTACATAAGTTTATATATGTATCAAATATTAAATATAGAAATAGTGACCAAGAGACAATGAAAAAGGAAATCACCTTTCCTTAAATGTACAGATGCCATATTCTTGTGAAAGCAGAGATCTAATTGGTATAGGTGGAATAGCTGAGTTTTTAGTCACAAAGAGTACTGGTCTACTGCTAATCAGTTGTGGATCTTGGACAAGTTAATGTCTTTGAAACTATTGTTTTAACTATAAAATGCAGAATTACTGTAAAGGTCAAAAATGTTATGATAAAGTGCCTGGTACACATGATATTTTAAAAAAATGATAGTTATTACTCCCCATGACTGCTACTCAAATTTAAGAAACTCCTTATATTCTAAAGAATTTGTTCAAGTAGACTGAATTTATCTTCAACCACTAAAATAATGGAACAATGACTTATTAAAAACCACCAAAAAATACTCCAGAATTTTTGCACTCAAGTAAGATTGCACCTCAATGGGACCATACACCACCTCTTTTCACTGACCTTCACTATTGCTAAGGATTATTTTCAGAAACCTCTCATTGGAACTTT